AAAATGAGAATCATTGTGTTTTCATTACCTTAGAACGAGCCGTTCAACTGCAGAGGAAGAGAATCCTCGTTTACGGAGTCTGCCATGTTTCCACAGAGGGAAAGCACAGGTTTGATCAAACCTATCTAGATAGGGCATTTTGCATTTTTGGGAAGTTTTGCGCCCACCATAGTTTCTCGTACATGCTTGGAATGGGAGGGTGAGGTGAGGGTTGTTGCAATCAGTGAGTAAATCGCTAGATGCCATTAAAGCCTACACACTGGATCTCTAAGAAACCAACATTTTTTTATTGCATCACAGGCTCTGTCGTTCTTTACTTTGGAATCTGTAGTATTTCCACATATCTGGTTTAACTTCTTTTTGTGGGGGATAGAACGGGTGAGCCGAGACTTCAGCCATGATGACAAGTTTTTTTATTTTAGAAAGACTGGAGAGTTGCAAGCTCTCACTTGTGGCAGTTCAAAATAAATCAGGAAATTAGCAACCTAGACAGCTTCTTCAAATCAAGCCATGAGCCGTGAGTATATTCACATTTATCCCGATTCACTGTCTTAAAACGTATTTAGTGACATAATTAAATAATTATGAATCAATTATTTATGAAGATAGGATTTCCCTAAATAAATAATGATTATTATTATCTAGCAGTGAGATTGCATATTGCTACAAACTCAAACCCCTTGACTCAACCGAGTGCAAAGGAGAAACTACGGCGGCCGCAAAACTTGCGAAAGCCCCTATCTAGAGCCAGTGTTTGGTTTGTCCATTCTGGTCTGCTGTAGAAACATTGCATAACACATTGGGGAATCTGTAAAAGAGGGCCCACAAAGATTCTTATTATCGGGTGATTATACACTAATGAAAACATACCTCTAAATATCATATTCCATTTCTGCCAATAGATCTTCCTAAATGTTACACACATACTTTTAGAGTCATACTTTTAATAATTACAAACAGCAACATTCTAACAATGGAAAAGGTTTGCAAAACTATGCATATAATTGCACTTCTTGAAAGAAAATATAATATTATAATAATACATTATCATAGGTGTTCCAGAGTCAAATCCTATATTGTAAGTACTATTTCAGCATCCTGCAGCTCGTTCACACTGAACCAGATTTACTAAGAACGTAAGAAAATGGTACAACACTAATGTGCGCTGCAGTTTTCATTGAATTTGTGGCCACAGTCTGTGTGTAATCAGCGCCTGATTAAGTAAGACAGCAGCTCATTATGCTGTCAGCTCCTGGACTGAGCCTGGGCCTCAAATTCTGAACAGCATCATTTTGTAGCTTATAGTGGAGCAGGTAGAGGTGTATATGGGGTTGATCCAACTGATAAAACCAGACCCAGCCAATACTGGTAAATGCAGCCAAATGTAATCTGTAAATGTCTTATCAAAAGAGAGAGGAATGATAACCTGTGGTGAGTTCACTGAGCGTCAAGTTCAGAAGCAGGTTTTGTTTGCTGTTATAAAGTAATCACATATTGCATTTATTAATAGTTACTGCACAATTGTTCTCTGTTTGATCTATTCCATATTTTATTGCCTTTTATTTATTTAGTTTTTTTTTTTAGATACAAGCCTTTAGTTTTTAAAAGCTTATCTGAGGTAAGACAAGTGATACGGTACAGCTCATTCTGATGTCACTGATTTCTTTAAAACAGAGTTGAATTCACATTTTATTTTAAATTATCTCTGACAATTGGGGATAAAAAAATATACAAATTTTTTCAGCCTACAATATATGCCTATATGCAGAGTGAAGAAGATAAAAAATGTTTTCAATAAACCTTTTAACAAATTTGCAAAATTGGAAGACACTTTTCATTCACTTTCCAGAGTCCTGCTCGCTTCAAGTTTTGCAAACCCGCCACACACCTGCAAAGCACAGCTGTATAACAGACCCGTCACCTGCAATTATCTCTAAATCAGTTCCGGGATCCGACCTTTACCATGTTAACGCAGTATAAGACTCGCAACTTGACCACAAGGGCAATTCAGGTAAAAACTATAGGTGGCACATGCAGAAGCTCCCTCCACGTTTTCAGGAAATTATTTTCACTTGTGTTTTGACCTGCTCAGAAATGGAAAATCTATTTGACACATTCTCTGTCTCATCCTCCTACTGTCCCCACCCTCTGTCCAGGTCCAGGACATGTGTTTCAGCCAGGACAGTCGCTGGGTAGCCATCAGCACCCTCCGCGGCACCACCCATGTATTTCCCGTCAACCCCTACGGTGGCGCACCCTGCGCCCGCACACACATGTCCCCGAGGGTGGTCAACCGGATGTCTCGCTTCCAAAAGAGTGCTGGCCTGGAGGAGATCGAGCAGGAGCTGAACAGGGCGGCTGCGTTAGGAGGTGGAGCTGGCGGAGGAGGCATCGGAGGAGGTGGCTGCATTCTGGGCGGGGGAGGAGGCATCGGGGGCCGCTGTAGCCCCATACCTGGCCTGTCCAGCAGCCCCTCGGGGTCTCCGCTGCACGGTGAGGAGCTGGGAGGGATGGGAAGTGAGGGTCTTACTGATGTTGTTGTTTGTTTGCAGGATCCAGAGTTCACAGGGTTAGGGTTACATATTATTGGATGTTATTTATAGATAACAAATAAATAAATAAATTTATAGACGGTCTTGACCAAATACCCTGGTGACATTCAGGTCCTCTGATGATAAATAATCATGATATCTCTTTTAAAAACATCATATCGGCCACTGCCAACTATGTTTTAATTTATTTTGCCATCTGATTAGAGCTTAGGAGTTTAAAGTTGCTGCAAGCTATACTTTTTTGTTAATTTAAGTGTTAAATAGCTCTACATTCCCACTGCCATCACTGAGTGTTCAGTAAACAGAGTACATTAAATAAATAAAAAATTCTGGTATCCTGTTCCCACTTCATCCACTCAGCAGACCGAACTCCACAAAGAGGCGGTCCTGAAGGGCAGGAAGTAGATTATCAGTGTGGTGATCATTAACATCCATTTGGAGTCGTATTTCAGCCACCTGATGAATAAGGTCCAATACATACTCTCATTTTAGCTCAGTTTTAGTCTCTACCAACTGCTGAGAAAAAGAATCTGGCTCTTTATCTGTCAGATGTTTATCACAGCTGTTTTGTTAGGAATAGCTGCCCTGCGGAAGTTGATGTGAGCTGAAGCATACAGTGAATGACTGTCAAACCAAAACAAAAAGCTAAAGGAGGCTAAAAATCTCTGTAGAGCCTCAGAGTTTCAGTATTAGAAGTAAAGTATTAAGTTGCTTCAGGCTAGAGATTGCTCCAGTCCAATTGTGCGTGTGTGCGTGTGTGTGTGTGTGTGTGTGTGTGTTTTTGTGTGTGTTTCCAGTGACTGGTCATCTCAGTAGCTCTTTTCCAGGGACTCTGATCTGTCTGCCACAACCTTGTCTCTCTTGTTTGTCAAACACCAGTGTGGGCTGCTCACACTGTCTGTGTGTCCCTAGCTGACATAGATACACACTGATAAACACACACTTTGTGTCAGCTGCACTGCCTGACCCCAGAGGTGTTACTCAGAGTAAAATATCACAGTTCTCATTAGTCATGGGTTTCCAGGAATATCCCTGAGCTTTAGTAGGTGAACTACAGCCAGGGCGAGGTCAAGAACTTGATAAACACTTCAGAGAACCAAATGACTGGGAATTGACCAGTGGGTAATTTTACATAATATAGTAGAATGTATTTTACAGCTTACTGGAGAGGTAAGCATGGCTTTAACCCTTCCGAATACTTTTGGATTTTCCACTTTTTATACTAAAAAACGCTATTTCATCCTCAATTCTTAGTCAGGTAGGAAGCGGCTGAATATATTCCACAGAACATCAGCTCCCCTATTCTGACTGTGTTTGTTACACTGAACCATCTAGGAAGTAAGCAAAACTATTTGGAAAAGGGCAGGTACTTTCACAAAATACTCAGCAGGTGATTGGATGAACCATCTGTCTGTCACTGTCTCTCACAGGTGAACTTCAACCAGTCAGATCAACAAAGCATATAAGCTCTGGTAGCACCCTGGTAGCTCTACCAGTTGAGCTACCAAGCTGCCCCATGTTATGTTTTTACAAATGTCAGCATACTGTTCTCATAGTTCATCCCAGCTGTTGTCGCTGCTTCTTTTCTAATTCTCAGTGGATTGTTGATGGATTCAGTCCATAAATCAGTGTCTCCCAAGATCCGGTAATGTCAGATACCATAACTGACAGACACATTATGTTACTAAATGCAACATGCTTCTTATTAAGGGTAATGCAAGTGGATGTTATTTAACACTGTTAACTATATTAAAGTGGATATTGTTGCTATATTTTTTGCACACAAATTAACTGTTGGTATGGAGGCCGGTTTGGTAAAATTTAGATTCATACTATTTGTGGCAGAAGTTTTTCTACTTCTGTTTTCTTCTCCAAACTGGGGTGCATGCTGACCCCTGTCTACTGCACGAAACATACGGAGTATAGAGAAGTACCTCATACAATCTAACTAATAATTCATTTTATAAGATTACGCATCATTTTTGCCATATCGTTTATCCTTTACAAGTGCATTTTTATAGACACAATGTGCTTTCCCCCAAGCTGTTCCCAGGCTCTATTCTTTAAGTACTCTTCCAGTCTTCATATGGGGCAGAATAGGTGACAGAAGACGCTGTGACCAAAAGGTCAGGGTCAAGTAATGTTCTTATCTGCCCGCCCCAGAACTCGCACTGCACCCCCAGTCACGTACACGCACACACATATACACTCTCGAAAGACGGCGCCCTCGCTTCCTCTCTCCTTCCTGTCTTCCTCGTCTAGACCCAGACCCCTCTGTAACCCCTACACCAAAACACACACACACATTCCTCCACACTGTGAAAAATAGGCCATCAAACATTAAAAGGATGTCTGACTTTGGAGAGTCACCGCTCTGCTGCGATGAGAGACAGAGAGGGACAGAAACATCAAAGGTGGGGTAGGAGGTGAAAGTGAGCGAGCAAAGTAATGAGGTGCAATTGAGAAAAATGAAGGAGAGATAGGACGGGGGAATGAAGGAGGGGCAGCGGCAGACAGAGGGAGAGAAAGATAAGTTTGTAGTAGCAGCGCTGAAAGCCAGGGTCTCGGGGAGCGTGGTCGTAAATCACACTTTTGTTTCAAAGGAGAGCATTAGGACCACCTGTCAACAATTAGTCCTCACAGTGATACCTTATTGAGAGTGTGTGTGTGTGTGTGTGTGTGTGTGTGTGTGTGTGTGTACATTTGAAGAAGATAAACTATCTACTGAACTGGTCATTGTTTTATGGTAAAGTACAAAAAAAAGGAGCAGCTCAGAATGAAAGATTAGAGTCAAGCTGCAGTGAAGTTTGCTCGACTCTTGGGGAGAAAATTGAAGGTTTTCATAACTCTAATATTTTACAGTGCATAATATAGTCCACAGGAAATTGAATTCAGGTTTCACACTGCTTTTATCAAGGTGTTAATCCATACCATACGCTACACTAGCTCACTTTCTGATAAACACAAAGCACCTCACTGTGCGAGCTGTGAGTCAGTGTTACGACCTCATTCATATGGTAGTGTCTAGCACTTTTGAAGTTCAGTATGTTACAGTGACCTTCTCTTAGTGGCTGTGGCTCAGAGGCAGAGCGGGGTGTCCCCCGATCAGAAGGTTGTTGGTTTGATCCCTGGCTCAGTGATTGCTCCTGATGCACAGCATTGGTGT